TGAAGAAGATGATGGTCGTAGATCTAATAAGTTTGTTGATTTCTTATCACCAATCATCCATGTATTAGGTAGGTCAACATTTTTAGTAGCCTGTTTCAAGTCGTCACAAAATTCTTGTGTTCCATCAGTAATCACCTTTTTTACTATCCGTTCAACAGCTGTTTCAAAATAACCAGTAACAAGATGTCGAAAATCAACGCCAACTCTCCCAAGAGACATTCCACAGTACATAAGTTGTGTTAATATAGATGAAAGCGATGAAGTGTCAGAAATTAAAGGAGTAAATTCCGCAAGAACTGAAGTTAATTGTCCAAGAATATGGATGGTATAATCAGAAATGGCAGATGCAGCAGTCATCGTACGCCTACCCAAAGAATTAGTACTAATGTCCGACAGCGAAGACACCCAAGGTGATGATGGTGTGGGAGGCATTATTAATGAAGAATATATAGGAGTTGATGCTAAACCACCACCTGCATCAGAAAATATAGCACGATATTGTGTAATAATATCAAAAAAATTTTCTCTAAATATGTCAATATACTTTTTCAAGTAGTAAACAGGATCTTTTTTTTTCTTTATCAATTGTACGGATTAATGATCGTAAATAAGCATCTCTAGAAAGCAAAAATACTAGTCTCAACTCAGCCTCATCAAATGCCTCCATACGTCTCAGATAACCAATTACTTTTAGACAATTTGGTAATTTAATTGGTTGACTCAAAAGAGTTATTAACTTTGATAACATGAGTTGCATCGTCTGTTTCACATCTCGTTCAATACTTTGGATTAATGGAATTGTAGAATATCTTGAGACTAGTCTCGCAACGTGAGAAGATAAATCCATTGCTTCAGAATAAAGACCATTTCGAACACATGTATCCATTAATTGTGGAATTTCTAAAACTTCCAGTAAATTATCATGACACTCTAAAATTGTATTGATCTTGCCACGCTGTTGAATAATTTGGTTTGTTTTCTGTAAAAAAGATGTACATGAATTTTCTAATAATGGAATTGTTGATGTTAATGTTGATAAATGTAAATTTAGGCTATCGAGAGAGGAATTAATTTCAGCAGAGCACGTATTAGCGTGAATGCAAGACTTGTATTCCCGAAAAGAAAGTTCAGCTAACTCTTTTTGTATTTTCGATTGTTCATCTTCGACTAGTAACGGTTCATGTTTAAGTGACTCTAAGGATAATGAAGTAAGTCGATTTAGATAATCTTTACACCAGTCATTATTCACTAAATCTCGTTGAGATGGTAAGGAGTCTGATAAGAAGGATAACAAAATTTCCTGCCCACTCGTATCAGGGGCTGATTGCGTGTAAAGATCATGTTCTGTTAAGGTCGCTGTAGTTACAACACCTGTTTCAAGTGTGTTTTCAGAGTTTTGTGTTAGTTGAGGTTCGTCCATGTTCGTTAATGCGTTTTCGAAAGACGAATAATATCAGATATTGGCGACACAGATCATCCAATCAAAATTTAAGATCAGATGTAACGGTAACGGGAACAGGTAACGTCCGTTTTCGATTGGTCGTTAAACGAATAATTGGAATCCAATTCGGATTCATTTTGCGAAACACTAATTAAATAACCTACTTTAACCTTTTTTTTTTTTTTCTTTTTGCATTTCACAAATTTAAAGTGTAAAAGGTACTGAAATGAACCGAGCAGAGATACGCTGCTTAAAATTCACAAAAAATTTTTTTTAACGAACGAATGTCTATTTACATTTCCGGACTCATACTTTGGGAATTGTAATTTTGACCAATTATACCGACCAAAATTATAATTTTTTCCATTCTAAACCATAACTATATTCTAGTTCTGACCTAAGGCAACTCACCTAGTATCGCTACCAAAATCAGATACGTACGTACGAAATTCACGATAACTGATAATAAATTTGATTACCATGGAAATTTTATTTTATATAATCTTTGTTCGCCCTGTCTAATGATGAAATTTGCAAATTTATAGCAAAATTGTAAAAAGCACCATGGTTTGAGCGCTTATCACTTTTTTTTTAGAGGCTTTCATTATATTCTTTAAAATTTTCTAAATCTAATATTAAATATATCAAAGCACTTTTTTGTTGTAAAGACCAATACTTCATTAAAATATAAGGCATAGCTAATGATGCACAAGTTAATTGGCTGGAGCTGAGGGAAACGAAGTGGAAGCCTTAAAGCCATACTCTACGATTTTTTAGAAATGTCCGGTTCC